CATAATAGGACCTTGATGCACGTCATTTTTTTTTCGGATCAAGTTCGAAATGGCCGATTGGCGGCCATTTTCTTAAAGAATTCTGTTCTGGATCCGTATCCAAGACATGTCTGGATTGATCAAGTTCAAACTTCACACACATATGGTCATCATGTCACAAATAGATATGTGCATTTGTTTCATGATCCGCTTAACAATAGCTGAATGATGGCCATTTTAAGACCGAAAATGCATTAAAATCACGTATTTTCACAATTCCGGAACCAGATCTCAGTCATGCATGGATGGATTTTGTTCAGATTTAGTACAATGTGTTGTACATATGCAGGTGCATTTCGGTCATGATCTGCTTTGAATGTATATGTCACTCAAATATGAACGGAACGGGGACGTGTCATTGACAATGACTTGTTTTCAGCTATTTTAAGTAGCAGTAAATTGTCTTGCAGCTGTTCTATAAATGACATCACAATGTCTTAATTTTAAATTTTGTCTTTCTTTAATCTTCTGCCGTATTTCTGTTCTTGTATTTCTCAAGCATTCTAGGAAACTGCTGCCATTATTTATTTTTAGGATATGTCACTATTCAGCACGTCTTAAATCGGCAAATCATTGGTTTACCTCTTATACGTCTTTTAATTGTACCTTACATTGTACATACCAGTTTATACAACAATTTTTACCACAGTATTAAAATCCAAATGTCCAGTATTGATTTAAATTCAACAGGCAGTGTTCTGACCATTTCCAGATAGAAGCAAAATCTATTATCAAATTATTATTATTATTATTATTATTAGCAGCAGCTGCCATAACTTTGAGAAAAAGATTTCAATGGAAAAGATATTGTATTGCATAAAAATGTTGTTTAAAGACTGTTTCTTTTATTTTAGATGTTTCAAAGAATGGACACATTTGATCTTGGTTGTGGACCAGGTGGTGGAAAAAATGCAAAGGAGGTGTTTGAGGTAGAATGTTTAAGTATATATATATTGTGGTTTAGAAATAATCATGAATGAGATAATATCCTAAAAGCTACAATTACCAGCTCGTAATTTAGGACTAAGCCAACGAAAGGCCATCAATTGATTGCATATACTCGCTGAATGAGTGAGTTATTGTCACACATAACTCACACTGGACAGGGATTTGTTCACTTATGGAATGGGGTAGACAAGACATTAATGCAATGTAATACACATACACGAAAATATCAAGTTAAATCTATTAGCTTTAATACTTCTAAACATAATTACAAGAACCAAAACACAGAATAACACAATACATAAATTCACTAAAATAGTGGATTGTCTA